CAGAATTTGGGAGGAAGGGGTTGCGTTGTAAATCTCCCCCCGTGCACTTTACAGACTCCAAGAGCCCACGGGAGGGTCAGTGATGAGTTGGTTCCGACTCGACAACCTGACAGAGCCTGCTGGTCAAACATTACAGCCCGTTAGCTCCAGGCTTCTTGGTCTTCCCCTGGAACTCTTGGGCAATCTCCCTTTACTCTCAACTGGCTCCTGCCCTGCTGCCCTACTGATGATTGTTTCTAACAGGCTCACCACATGTAGCACAGGGCCTTTTCCTCCTGTAAGTACGTACACTCCGTCAGGAAGACAGATGGGGAGGGAGGAAAAAACCGGAAAGTGAACGGTGTCCCCTCAAAAACGCGTGTCAACTTGGTCAGGCCACAACTCTCAGTATTATGTCATTATCCTCCATATTAGCATGTGATCTAATTATGTCATAAATCCTTCTACAGTGTTAATGAGGCAGGATACAAGCCACAGGATTTGATTGAATCTTGAGTCAATTCCTTTGATATGAGTCCCTCTCACTATTACACTCAATGGCTGCAGAGTCAGAACTTATTTATAGCTGACCTGCTGGCGGTTTTCAGAGACCGTAAATCTTTAAAGAGGTCACGGCCCACCTTTCTCCAGCAGAGCGGCTAGTGGATCCAAACCACCAGCAGGGCGTCAACTTTTGGGTTAGCCATGCAATCCCCTAAAAACTACTCAGACTAAAGGCTTTTATCCTATTTGACACAGCATTCATGGTAGGCCTGCAGATATTTAATTTCTGAAATAATATAATGCACATAAAGTCTCCTGCCCTATGCCACATCCCATGTGCCTGGCAGAGTAAGCGCTAAGTGCAATCTGAATGCAACAGCACGGCTGTCCTTGTTTCTGAAACAGTCCCACATTCACCGCAATTAGGTGGGGTCAAAACTAAAATTCACCTTGAGAAGTTTAGATTTCTTCAAGGCTCTAGCTTACATTTTTTTTATTATGATTTGGCCACTCTTCACCTTAAAACCAGAAAGATTACACATTTCTATCACATAGTCATTTCAACTACAGAATTTGCTATTCACAATTCCCCTAGTGAATAACATACAGGGCTGCAAGCTAAAAGGTCAGTAGTTCAAGTCCACCACCAGCCACTCCACAGGAAAAGTCATCTCATTCCATAAAGGCTCAGAAAGCCGATGGAGGGTTGCTACAAGCAGAAATAAACTCAATAGCCATGGGACTAAATTTTTTAAATTTTACTTAAAAGGTAAATTCAAATATCACACTCAGTAAAAGACTGAACAAGTCAAGTCATCCAAGGAAGACATTTTGGTACTCAGCTTGGTTTTCCTTATAATCTCTTTCAGCAGGGGAAGAAGCTTCCTCTTTCACGAGATGCAGCTGAAGAAGCAGATTTGGTCTTAAAACTGAGGGCTGAGCTGCTCTCTAACCTGCTCTATGTGTGATTCACTGTTTCTTGAGTGGAGAGGCTATCAGCACTGAGCAGTTACAACAGCTCACCAAAATCTACACTTCAAGAACATAAAACGACATTGTTGCTGTTTTTAGGTGCTGTTGAGTACGACTCACAGCAACCCCATGAACTCTGTTCTTTCCTGCTCCATCCTCACACTTCCTGACACACAAGAGCCCACTGCTGGGGGTCATCCTCTCCTTCACTGACCTCCGCCCTTCAAGCATCATGTCCTTCTCCAAAGAGCCCCTCCTAGCAACCTGTCCAAAGTATGTGAGGTGAAGTCTCAGTATTCTTGCCTCCAAAGAGCATGTTCAATGCACTCTTTCCAAGACCTATGTTGGTTCTCTTGGCTGTTCATGGGATGTTCCCAACACTACAGCTCAAAGGCATGAATTCTTCTGTCACCCTTATTCACTGTCCAATTCTCAGATGCATAGCAAGTAATCAAAGACCATGGCCTGAATCAGACTCACCTTAGTCCTCAAACTGACATCATAATTCCTCAATAATTTGGAGAGGTCCTTAACTGCACATTTCCCCAGTGCACTGTGTCTCCTTATTTCCTGACTGCTCATACCAAGGGTGTTAATTGTGGATCCAAGCAAGATGAAGCTGTTGACAGTTTCAATTTCCTCTCCATCCATCAGGGTCCAGTGGTAAGAATCTTTGTTTTCCTGAGATGCAATTCAAACTGAAGGCTGCATTCCTTGATCTTCTGCAACAAGCGCTTCCAGTTCTCCTCAACTGACTATACAACAATAATAATAATAATAATAATAACTATAATGATAAAGGGGTTCAACAAAGTTATCACCTATTCAGCTACTGTTAAATGTTTTGCTATTTTTGAAAAGCATCAATGGACAAGAGGACACTGCTGTCTTCTTCTTGTTCCCATATAAGCTCTGTGACAAACTTCCCCTTGCCCGAACACTATGAGCCTCCAACAACTAAGATGGCAAGAAATGTGAAGTCTACAGAGGCATCATCGGGCCATACTGATCTGACTTACTGCACAACTCATACAACTGCCAACAATGTGGGATTTTCCTACAGAAAGTTTAGGAAACATGCCGTTGGTAAGAATGTGGGAACCTTGATACCAAAAAGTCTGACCTTCTGCCAATAAACCTAGGGCTCTAAAGAAAAGATCTTACACCAAGGGGGAACACAGGCAGAGGTAAGGAAAAGTAGGTCTAAAAGAGCTGAAAAGATTGGAGAAGTAAAAATTTAACTAAGAAAAGAAGCTATGACATTTTAAACCACTGTAAGCTGAGAGTTAGGAAATGTTAAAAATCTGTACGTCAGCATCTCACACATGCAGTAAACATATTCTTTAGAAGCTCCATCTACATGGTCAATACAAGGCAAAAGAGTCCTGCCAACCAAAAGGCTGAAGGATGCAGGAAGGGCTAATGGAAAATCTCCCCATTCATAAATGCCTGTAGCTCAGGCTACTTGCAGAGGGCTGTCTTACTGAAGAAAACCAGCTTACATATTTGCACATCAAGGATGTGACCCGGAAAAGGCGTTCACTGTGTCCTGCAGACATCTGGTCCGGATGGATGTTTTACAGCCAAGGAAGGAGGTGGCACCCATGCAGATTCTACATTGACTACAGGATAAATGAGTGGGCAGCCAGATCACTCAAAACCAGCAGATGGAGGCAGGGTGCAGTTTTCATAACAAGCAAGTGCCAAGAATTCATACATCGATATTCTTCAAAATAAAAAACGATACTTTATTATAATTTTTAAACTGCAGAAAGCACCTATGAATACCACTATACACACGCACACATACACAAAATCACTAATCTCTGGAGTTTCCATATCTCGCCAAGAGTCACCCAAAGAAGAATGTCTCAGTAGATTTGTTCCAGTTCAATCCAACATGGCACTATGAGATATACGTAAAGTACTAGGCTTTTGGTTTCACTCACAGCTCCAAAGTGCTGTTACAGGCAGAAGATTCCTCCACCGAGAGATCATTCTTGCTGAATTAGGACACAAGTGAGAACAGGAATGCTTTGTGTGGAGTTCAGAGTGTGTTCAGGTTGAAATATGAATCTGTACCCTTCCTGTCCTGCAGGCCCTATTCTTTTTCCCTTTCAGTGTCTGCTTCCTGGGAGCTCTGGAGGCCTACAGGCAGGGAGCTGCACTGCAACCACAGAGGTGTGCTGTTTGAATCCACCAGATGCTCTGCTGGAGAAGGAGGGTCCATCTCCTCCTGTACCAGTCAGATCTGACCTGATGGTACACACACAAAAACAAACAAACAAAAAGCCCCAACCAAAAACCAACGTCTGCTTCCTCTCTTTCTACAAGGTTTGCATTTCAGACTATACTAAAAACTTTATCTTCCGCTCAGAGTCACATTGGACGCAGTTAAAATAAGCAGTCATGGGGAGCTCTGGTGGCCTAGTGGCAAGAAGCTGCACTGCAATTCCAGAGGTACGTGGTACAAATCCACCAGATGCTCTGCAGGAGAAGAAGGGACAATCTCCTCCTGTACCAGTCAGATCTGATTTGATATTACACACACAAAAAGGAAAAAAAAAGCAGTCATGTTACATCTTAAATTGCTAAACCTGCATTTAAGAAATATGAACTCCCAGGTTACAACACAAAAGAAATTTTATTTTAAGGAGAAATAAATTATTTGGTTGGACTGGGAAATACTTATTTTTTTAAAATTATAATTACAATGTGAACTTTTGCATCATACTGTATCCTAAGACAAGTATCAGGTAACCCATATATCCAAAATGGTTCAGAGAACCCTTTTCTATTCCTTACCCTAGTGTTGAGAAATTACTCTGGACACTCTAAGTTGTTAACATATGGCTTAGTTTACTTGGTGCTCATGTAAAAAACTTCTACAGGGCCAAACCTTAATTAACATTGACTATTTAGTGTGATGTTTCGAGATGGAGGCTCTCAAAGAAAGCAAGGATGTGGTAACCAGAAGCTAGCAGACCAGGACGACACAATGGAACAGCACTGAAGTCAGTAGTCTGAAGACATCACCGCCATCTTCAAAATCAATACACTTACATCTTGATTTTCTAATCAGGAAATCAAGGGTGGTGGAATGTTTGCATATATTGCTGATCAAAACATTTTTAACAGAGTGGAAGATATTTTCTGAATACAAAAAGCTTTGCAATACACCATTATCATTCATGGACAGGTCAAGTAAAAGAAACACTTTTAGAGTTAATTCTTCTGAAAGTCCAGCTATAAAATACGGGTGGCCAACTTTCAAAGAATACCAAGACAGATTCTGGCAAAAATACTCTCGCTTTCCTAAAGGTATATGCTGTCTTCAAGTTTAACTACATTATATACATATATATATAGAATCCTTTTCCGTCAGCAAAAAAGAAATCTTTGTTTAAACTCCAAAATTGAAAACATTTGGGTAGAATGAAGGTAGAATTCTGGTTGTTTTCTTTTTTTTAATTCAGAACATAGCTGAAATCAGACACTTTCAACTGTCCTGAAATTAAAAATCTTTGAAAGGTCTCCATCTTCATTCACATGAATTCATCTGAATCATTGCCGTCCTACAGAAAACAAAAGTAAAAACCATAAAAGTCTTGAACTCAATTTTAAAAACTCATTAATTAGCTTTATCTCTTTCTCAGCCCTAATTTCAGAATTCAGAGTGCAAAAAGTGAAACCAAAAAACTCACACATCATTTCTTTTCCATACTGAAGTGTTAGATGAATGGGATAACTAGACTAGTAGCTATAATCTCTACGGTGTCACTGCATTAACTAGATTACCAGGAACAAGTGAGCAGTGATTTCTACACTACGACGTAAGGTCCAACTGATATAATTAATACCAGACTATAGTAAGTGTGAAGATAAGAATATATGATTGATTCTTCTACAGATATACCAGAATATGGAATCAAACAAACAATACAACAGCTAATACCCTTATGACAACAATGCTGCTACGACACAAATATTTTTGGCATGCATCTTTAGGAGTTACCCTACAAGCCCAACATTCTGTGCTTCAAAGTTGTCACAAACTTGTCAGACAGCTTGAAGACAGTTATTTGTTTTGGTTTTTAATATAGGATCAGGAATTAGAAAGCTAAAGATAAGTTCTTTCTTTTATGAAAACTTTTACGAAGTTTTTGTTAATTTTTTCTAAAAATGGCAAGAAGCCTCACGGGATGTTATATAGAAGGTAAAGCGACTAATGTCGTGTGGCTTATAAACAAGTCCTTAAAATTAATAAAAGCAGGATTCCAGACTTCTTCCTGAGCTAGGGCAAACCCTAAGCTGACTGTTTTCAATGTCAGTGTTCACTTAATAGTACAGAGTGTTCACTTAATAGTAAGAGTTCTGCTACATTTGCTTTAAAAAGCCACAACCTGACCATATAATTTTTTCACTTTCTATCTTCTCAGCACTGCTTAACATCAGAGGTGTTAACAGAGAAAGTGAGATTATAAAAGTTTATATGCTCACATGCTTTTCTCCTTATCAGCTCTGATTAACAACAGATGAAGAAATATGAAGAGAAAACAAAGGTTTCTGTGAAGTCTGGTATTCTCCAGTTTCATTTAGTGGTTTTACAATTCCCTTCAGTTGGCACAACTAACTGAGGCTATGGTAAAAATGTGTTAATTATATAAAGAATAGACTAATGTATTATACCTAGGCTTATGAACTGTGACCGTGTGCAGGAGTCATACACTTACCTATGATGTGCGATGTGTGCATCAACAGAGGACAAAAACCTTGTGAAGATAACTAGGTTGGTGGCAATGAAAATCCATTAGTCCCTATGAGTGCTGTAAGACTCGTCAAGAATGCCTACGTGGTGCGGGAACCTGTGTTACAGTAACTTTGAACTATGACCCAAAAGACTTTATTTGTACACTTGTTCTATTTTAGAGCAATGCTTTTCAGTGTATTACAAAAACGCTTGTTATTCACTTATAAAGTGAAAAACAAATTAATATTAAAAGCAATGCTTTATGGTTCTTGATATGGTTTAAAAGGATTAGAAAGCAGAGATTGTAGAGAATTATTCTACAAAGGAGACCAAAAATCTGAAATGAAAACTAATGTCAGAGTAAAAGCCTAATACTGCTCCTATCAAATAAATACTCTTATACCATCAAATGCCCCTTAATTGAAAATCAATTGATTATATCATCATGAAAGGTCTGTATCTTTTTATGGACACTTCTATAACAAAAGAAGATGGCTGCGAGGAGGAATTAAAATTATCTTTTTGTATGTTCCTGTGTTCTAGAAAACAGCAAATAATCTGATTAATGTTTATGCCCTAAGCATGGTTTTATGACTCATTCACACCAAACAAGGAATGCTGAAATAATGGAAAATGGTCCCAGGCCTTTCAAACTGCTGTGACTACACCAAGTGGCCAATGGAAGAAAGAAAAATACCCTACTCTCGACTCTGGGTGAAGATGATGCCAGCTGAACCTCACCCTTTTCACCAAAGCATACATTTCAAATAAAGCATAGTTATACTGGCTATACCAAATATGTTGGTTTTTTTTAAAAAAAATTTTAACAAAAATCCACACAAAGCTGTTAACAGTCCAAAAATCAAACAATAATAACAAAAAATCCACATACAGCTGTTAACAGTCCTTTCACTGAAAGACAGAATGAAAAGATCTAGCATAAAACTTCCTCAGAAACTTGAACGTGAGTCAAACCTGCAGCAAAGGACAAGGATTGCAAACAGTAGAGGGCGACAAAGGAATTTGCTCTTCAAATTCCACTTCTTAGACCTGGGCCTTTTAACCTGTCACTAACCATATAGTGTTTGTGTGTGTGCACATATCCAAACTTTCAAACTTCATCATGATGAAAAGAAAAATACATAAAACCACACACAAAATAATATGGGTGCCGTCTTCTGGTGGAAAATTACCTCAAATAACTGAAAGCTTTCATAAGCAACAAAATCTACAACAAAGACAAAATCTGGGGTATATAAATACTTTAAGGGAGCCTGGTGTCCAGCTTTTTGTAACTTGCAAATCACTAATGGTCAGGGCACAATTATCACAAATTCCTAGGGCACAATTATTACAAATTCCTAGTGAATTTTTTAAAATCACAATACATAGCAAATAAGTTAAATTACCTGATTTGAAGACATATTCTCAACTTTCATTAATGATGAATAGCTCCTAGAAGAAAAAGAAAACATTTTAGGTTATCCAGTCAAAGTGCATTTCATGAAAATTAACCATATATCTAGCACTGCCTGGGGTTCTTGAAGACAAAACCACAAAGATATTAGGTATCATTTTTATTCTCAAGGTGACTGCTGACATTAAAGATATCTATAAATAACAAATAACATGTGCACTCTATAGCTTACCAAGTGCTTTCTCATACTTATTTTATGTCACTGCCATAGAACTTTATGAGGTCAATGGCATTATTTTTACTTTTCAAATGGAGAAACTCATCTATAACCAAAATAGATTTAACTAAGAGCTGAGTTGCACAGCACAGAGTGTAAATGCAATAGGAATTCAGAGGGAAATCCATCATCAGTGTAGACTGGGGTGTGGGGGCACTCCTCACTGAAGAGGCAAAACTCGAACAGAGCATAGCAAACAGGCAGGAAAGGTGATGAGGACAATACAGAGCTACAGAACAGGATGAGCAAAGGCGTGGAGATGAAATTTATAATTACATTTCAAGAATCATACAAACGCAAGTGGAGTCTAAAGCAAAGTTGTGGGAAATAAGCCGGATGCGAAGGGATGGGTTTGGAGTCCTAATCAGGTGAGTTCATACAGTGCACTCAGCCAAAACTCACTGTATATTCCTGAGCAAAGACAAAAATTAAAAGCAACAAATTATTTCTTAAACATCTGAACTGTGTAAGACGCTGTGGTAAGCCCAGGTGAAAGCTGAGATGGGGAAGAAAATAAAGCATGAATAAGTTAAAAGCCCTAACGTACACATAGGGCAAGTTCTCTTAAGAAATACATGAAGTCATATTCATAGAAAAGGGTAGTGATACAAACCAATTTAAAAACCATTTATATTGGACTTTGCCATGGTTTTTATGGATTGCATGAACCCAAAAAGTCTCTAAGCTATCAATTTGTCAAGCCAAGTCATTTAGGAAAATTGGAACCCAAAACTCACTGCTGTGAAGTTGATTCTAAATCAAAAGGATCTTCCATCTGGTTTTGAGGCTGCAAGCCTTTACAGGAGGAGATTCCTATTATTCTCCAAAGAGGGGCTAGGGGACTTGAACCATCCACCACTCCATTAGCAGGTCAACACATAATGTTCTGTGCCACCATGGCCCAGTCTAGCACATTTGGGAAATATTTTTTTAATTTATCTGTTGTCTACCTTGGTGCTAAAATGATTAAAGAAAGTTATAAAGATACAAATAGTAAAATAAGCTTTTATAGACATAAACAAAGACAAGAGGAAGTGACACTATGTGACATCAATGCTTTTTAAAAAAATGAACCGGCCAAAGGAAGTTAAAGGAAAAGATACCAGCTGATAACAAAATTTATCATTTACTGAGCATCTTTTACTTTCAAGGCACTGGGCCAAGTCCCATAAAAATTATTGCTATTTCTACAACAATCAAAGGCAGAGAATATTATCCCATTTTACACATAGGGAAGTAGGTAAAAGAAGTAACTAAATTAAGAGAAGTAACTGCACTATCCCAATGAGAGCATGAATTCATGGTGTTAACAACAATGCTTCTAAATTGGATCATTTGAAGAAAACACTTGAATTGGTGAGACAAAATTATGTGGGCTTTTATTATAAAAACTTTAAAACCAAGATTAGAAGGAAGAACTGTCATAGTGAGAGACAGAGTGTCAGGAGACAGAGAGATGAACTGGATTCTGTAAGAATATATGGCTGTTGTGTACCATCGAGTCGGAAGCGACCCATAGCTGACCCTTCGGCAGGTTTTAACAGGCAGTTAATCACACGGGAGAAGACTGCCTATCTTTTCCCTGTGGAGCAGCTGGTGGACTCTAACTGGCTGACTCTGGATTGCAGTGCAGCTTCTTGCCACTAGACCACCAGAGCTCCCCTAGAATAAGTGGTATCTATTAAAAATAAACATAAATAGACAATAGTCATTATGTCATGGCTCATGAATGGGAAGAGAAAGGCTTGTTGACAAAGGAAGGAGTTAGAACAGAAAAGCTCCACCCTGGCTGTATTTTGAAGTCAATTCAAGAATAAAATCTATCAAGATGCTCATTTTGGGGGATCTTGAATTTGAATCATTCCTTATAAAGATGTCAGTAAATTTATTTTTTCTTTAAATCAGACCTTTAACTTTCAACCCATTTAAACCAACTGCCTACTGGATCTATTTCTGCATATCACAAAGTTATTTTCAAATTAATATATACAAATCCAACTCATGACATTGCATCCTAACATAAACCATCTGGTTCTTTGCCCTGTCTCAAAGAATGTATCCCTGTCCACTCAGTCTCATAGAACAGAAGCTTAAGCGCCCGCCTCTTCCCTCCAATCTGTCATTTTTCACCCATGACATTACCTCTCACAGGTCCACTTCTCTCCACCCTCTCATCACCACCATAATCTAAGTTACCATTCTCTGTCACATGGAAAACCACTGTAGCTTAACTGGCCTATTTATATCCTTTGTGATTCCTCTTTCACTCAGAGCAGCAATGCAATCCAGTGATCCTTCCAAAACAAAAACTTGATACAAAAACCTGATACTATTACTTGCTGAAAACTCTTCCATGACTCCACAATCTCTAAGGTGAAAACACACACGCATCTTCCCCCGCTATTTTTTTTAATTGAGATTTTAATCAAAGTTTATAGAGCACTTGGATTTCCATTCATTCATTGTTGCACATTTTCCTCCCTGGCACTGGCATCTTTTGATCCCACTAGAATTAATAGCAAATGCATATAAAATCTTGCTAAAGATTATCCAAAAATGGTTAGACAGTACATCAAGAGAGAATTGCAAGAAATTCAATCTAGATTTAGGCCTTGGCACCAGGGATATCACTGCTGGTATCAAATGGACCTTGGCTAAAAGCAGAGATAAAAGAAGGATGTTTACTTGTTTTACACACTATGCAAAGGCATTTGATTGTGTGGAGCATAACAAATTATGGCTAGCATTAAGAAGAATGGGAATCCCAGAACACCTAATCGTACTCATGCAAGACCTATCCCTAGACTAAGAAGCTGTTGTCCCAACATTGCAAGGGAAGGAACTGTGCATGGTTTAAAATCAATAAATGTGTGCGTCACAGCTGTATCCTTTCTTCATACCTATTCAATCTATATACTGAAAAAATTATTCAACAAGTTAGACTTTGTGAAGAATATAGCATCAGGATCAGAGAAAAACCAATCAATGACTGCATCATGCAAATGCTACATGCAACCTTGCCTGCCACAAGTGAGAACTTGAAACACGTGCTGAAGAAGATCAAAGACTGCAGTTTTCAATATGAGTTGCATCTCAATATCAAGAAAACAAAAATCTTCCCCTCTGGGCCAAAAGGCAATAATATAACAGATGGAAAGAAATAGAAATTGTCAGTGATTTCAGCTTGCATGGATCCACAATCACTACCCCTTGGCACCACAAGGCAGGAAATCAAAAGACTCTGTGGTGTAAAGGGTTTCTTGCTCAAATGGTTTCTCTATCCAATAACTTACTTTGTCATGTGGATGGGCAGGAATATGATAATAGAGTGTTAGCCTATGTACAAGGGGATTGGCTAGTCTCACTAATCCACAAGGGGATTGGCTAGTCTAGCTATTAAATTGAGGAGATCCTGCAGTAGAATTAGAAGACCTCCACCAGCAAAGCAGCAGCATGAGAAGGCAGCACATTCTCTGGGCCCAGAGAGTCTCATACCAGCTAGACGTATGGCATCAGCCACTATGGTCAAAGTAATGGACCAAGGACCCAATACGAGACAGAGTGGACCGTAGGGCTGAGACCCTACAAAGAACTAGAGCTAAGAGCCTTTTCCCTAGTGCGTTGGACAACTGAAGAATTAGGGGTGGGGAAAAGAGCCATAACTGGCAGGACTGAGAACTCTGTTAACACTGGCCTAAAGCCACAAGGCTCAGGGCTGAAGTACCTTTGAGCATAGAGAACCTGTCCTGACTATACTCTGCTACTAACCTGGATTGTAAACTTTTGACTTCCCCAGTGAGGTTCTGTGCTGTCTGTTAGCTACTGTATCAGATTCTGGATGCAGTAAAGCAGTAAGATTAGTGTTGAGATGAAGAGAAAGAGGTATGGAAGCATGAGGGACATGTCTGACCTCATGGGAATTTGTTTTTGTTGGTGATGCTGTTGACAGGAACATTTCACCTTTGCGAAGTTGGTACAGGTCAGATATGGCCGTCCCCATACAGCCCTGTTACACACTGCGGAAGTTTGCTGTCAGGGACCTCTCCAAAGTGCTGAAGAGCTATGAGGTCAGAAGACTAAGGCATACCTAATTTAAACCATGATCTTTTCAATTGCTATCCAGCTGAAAGTTGGATAATAAAGAAGGTAGACAGAAGAAGAATCAATGCCTTTGAGTTGTGGTGTTAGAGGAGAGTGCTAAATATCACATGTGCTGCCAATAGTACAAATATGTCTCAGAAAAGATACAAGGAGAGTGTAATAGTGACATATTTTAAGGATGCTGTCAGGAACGGCTGTTGTTGTTGTTGTTATGTGCTGTCGAGTCGTTTACGACTCATAGTGACCCTATGAGGGCTAGTCTTTGGAAAAGGACATCATGCTTAGAAAGGTGGAGGGCAAGATCATAAATAAGATGGATTAACACAGTGACTTTACCAGTGGGATTGAGTACGTCAGAAAGGATGAGGGTAACACAGGATAGGCAGGGTTCAGATCTACTGTTCACAGGGTTGCTGAGTCATGGTCTCCTCGACAGCACTGAACAACAAGCCTCATCTTGATTCCCATTCTCACTCCAGCTGTCCCAGGTTTGCTTTGCTGTGTACTTTGTTCTATTCACATCTCACCAAAAAGTTTATAGATACGATCCTGACTATAACTCAAAGGGTGTGAACTACTGACCACGGGCAATTTCATTTTTATTCCTACAAAAATTAGAAATCAAAAGCGTATTAATCTGTCATGATACATATAATACAGCACATTACAAGCCAAGTGTTACGAGTAAATTGTATATGCCCCCCAAATATGTGTTGGAATCTGTGGATATAATCTTATTTGGGAATACAGGTTTTCTTCTTTAATGTTAAAGGGGTCATAACATTAATTGAGGTGCAAGATGTCTTAAGCCAATCACTTTTGAGATAAAAATTAGGCACAGATGCGAGTAAACCCAGAGGGGGAAATGCCATTCCATATGAAGATGATGAGAGACTAGCACTCTCCTAGAGAGAGCCTCCCTCAAGAGCCAGGGCCCCAAACTGAAACTTCCAGCCTTAAAAACGCTAAGAAAACAAATTCTTGTTTGTGAAAGCCATCTACGTGGGGCATTTCTGTTACAGCAGCACTAAATCAAAAGAGAGTTCTTCTGGAGTTATCCATTTGAATATTCAAGGGAAAATCACAGAAAAAAAATCTAAGAACTCTGTCTCGAAGTAACATATATTTTTAGCGGGGGGGGGAAGAGAGAGAGAGAGAGAGGACATCTATGTTTATTGCTGCATTATTTACATTGGCCAAAAGCTGAAAACAACTCAAGTGTTTTATCAAAGAGAGAATATCTAATGAATCTGGTACATTCACACAAGAGAGCTACAAAGTCATCAAAAATGTTTAAAATACTGTGCTACATGGATGAATCTAGAACAAATTATGATGAATAACGTAAGTCAGTCAAAAAAGCACAATTATACAAGACCACTATTATGGAAAGGTTTACACACAGCTAGAATCATTCCTGGATGTTGACGAGGGATGGGCAGGGAGGGAGAGTGGAGTTAAAAATAGATAAAGTGAGTGAAGGGAAAGGCAATATACAATAATGTTAATCAGACATTGTAATGAATTATATTATCTTTGTTATAAAACAAAAATTAAATTTTATTGCTAAGAAAACAAGTTGTGTCTAAAAATACTACAAAAGAAATTGCGTATCAATGGGCAAATGAAAAATCAGTGATTTGTAAACTTTCACTCAAATGAGAAAAGAAACAACCCCCTACGGGCACCTTAGTATATGCTGTTGTTGTTGTTGTTAGGTGCCATATGAGCGCGACTCACTCATAGCAACCCTATGAGGAGCCAACCTGAACCTTGCCCTATTCTGTACCATCTTCCCCTAGACACTAGAGCCCAATGCTGAGGTCACTGTGTCAATCCACCTCTTTGCGGGTCTTCCTCTCCTTCGCTAACCCTCCATCTTTCCAAGTGAAGACCCTTTCCAGGAACAGCCTCACCTAGCTACATGTCCAAAGTGTGTGATGAAGCTTCGCCATCGAGTGGTGTTACATATTTATATAGTCAGTGTATAGGAAGAAAGATGACATTTCCAAAGATCTCCTTGTTCTAGTCTCCAAAGCCTACAAATATATACAAATATATAGTGCAAAAGAGCACTGAAAAGAAAAAAAAAAAGGCACTGCAAATATGATTAAGTTTAAGATTCTAAAGTTGCACTATTATTTAAGATTATCTGGGTGAGCCTAATCTATTCACTGCAAATATGATTAAGTTTAAGATTCTAAAGTTGTGCTATTATCCAAGATTATCTGGGTGAGCCCAACATATTCTTGAGGAGCGCTGTGGTCCACAGCAGCATGCTAACCCAAAGACCTTGTGTCTCTCGAGGGTAGAACCCACCAGAGGCTCTGCAGGAGAAAACTGGGCAGTCTCCTCTTGTAACACTTTTTGAACAGCAGAAAAGGAGGGAGCCATGATAGGGGTACAGCTACAGGAGAAAGGTATAGAAATAAAGAAGGAGGTGGCATCTAGAAACCAGAAAAGGGAAGGAAACAGAGCCTCCAGAAGGAACAGCTCAACCCAAGGATGTGCTGATTTCAGCCTAGGGAGGGTAGTGTCAAATTACTATACAATAGCAAATTTGTGTTGTCAAGCTACTAAGTCTGTGGTAATCTGTTACAGCATCAATAACTAAAATGGTCAGTACTCTCATGGCTAGATCGCAATAATTTCCATATCCAAATTCATTCTAACTACTATTTATTGTTTTTAAATGTCATGCTTTAGAGTAGGCCTTACTACATCACTTAACATTAAACTGTCAAAACATAGGAAAAAAGCTTTCAAAATCACTGCAACAATTGGCTCAGTGACAGCAGCGCCAGTGAGGACTGCGTGGGACTGGGCAGCACTTCTTCATGTGGGACATACGGTCGCTGAGTTGGAAGCGACCTGATGGCCCTTGACAGCAGCACTGGCTGTTAGAGACAAGACAATGGTGATGGTGTTGGCGGTTGCTGTAAAGCTCAGTTCAGCATCCAGTGATTCCATGCCACAGAGAAGAGCTGCCCACAACATTTTCTTGGAGGTTTCTTCTTTGGAAAAACAGACCAAGTCTTTCTCCCAGAATTGCAAGGTGGGTTCAAAGTGCCAACCTTTCTGTTAACAGCTGAGTACATAACTATAACATCCCATTAACTTTATTCAAATATCCATGTTGTTATCATATGGTGTCGAGCTGACTACAACTCATAGTGACTTTATGAACAATGGATCTGAACCGTGCCCTAGCCTGTGCTATTTTCACCATCTCCGACACACTCGAGCCCACTGTCATGGTCACTATGTTAATCTATCTAGCTGTGGGCCTTCTACTCTCTTACACTGATTCTCCATCTTTCCAAGAATGATGTCCTCCAAGGACCAGCCCCTCTCCTCCTAATAACATGTCCAAAGTGTGTGTGGTGAAGCTTCACCATCCTTATCTCCAAAGAGCAGCCTGGCTGCACTTTCCCCAAAATACATCTGTCTGTTCTTGTAGAAGTCAATGGGATAGTCAATGTTAAACACTTGCTAAAACACCTTTTCTTTTCCTGAAGAAATTTACAAACCAAATTCCAAAGACAATGACAATTTTATATTCCCACTAATTTATTATAAGTTAGTTATAAACTACAACTATTTTTAGTTATCAATTATGAATAATTATATAAATGAATTGTAAATGGTAATTTATAGCTAATTTATTAAAATTGTCTGAGTGAAATATCTCAGTCACAAAAGGAGAAACACTGCATAACACCACTGTTATAAAACAGGACAGATACTGCAATCCCAGAGGTACGCGGTTCAAATCCACCAGATGCTCTGCTGGAGAAGGAGGGGCAATCTCCTCCTGTACCAGTCAGATCTGATTTGACAGTACACATACGTATGTACACACACACACACAGAGGACAGATATGGGGTGTTGGGGAGACAATGTGAAAAGAGTAGATAGATAATGAACACTGCATTAGAACAGATGAAAGGAAGAACTGTCTGAAAGAAATATATGATTAGGCTTACATGTATGGTAACAATCTGGAACAAGGGGTGCATTGTGAGGTGGAATGGAGGAGGGGGAAGAAAATATTCAATAATGAAAAAAAATGATAAAAAAAAAAATTTAAAAATTAGCTACACTGCCAGAGCTCTCCTGATAGAAGTTGTCACTATTTATAACTGATTTTTAAATTGGGTATTTTAATTCACACACTTTCAAATCCTGAAAACAGCAATTAAAAACCATTTAACGACCACAATTTAAAAGTGCATTTTTCTACTTCATTTACGGATTTGGGCTACACCAATATGTCACTATTGCTTTTAATTAAAGATAAAAAGCAGAAGTGACAAATCCTTCAGGTCAACATTATAACCCCAACATACCTAAGTTCATCCATCTCCTTCTTCTTCTTCATTTCTTCTTTTTCTTTCTTTTTCATCTCCTGAATTTGGGCTTTTTTTTCATTCCTCTCTTCCCGGTCTCTACATTCTTTCTCTGCTGCTAGGTCTGGGAACCGTTCCATCTTGGTCTTTTCTAATCGGTTTAGTATCTCATTTACTTTCTTCTCCACTGTCACAATTTTTACCTTTGAAGGAGACAAACGAAAGAAACAATGAATCTTCATGATGTGTTCTGCCATCCCCAGAACTGAAGGAAACCTTTCTAGGGGCTCAGGAGCCAGTGGTTTACTGTGTATCACGGAGTCAGAACTGACCCAAAGCTGACCCTCTAGCAGGTATTCTGAGGCTGTAAACTGCAGAGGAGGAGACTGTCCATCTTTCTCCCATGAAGCGGCTAGTGGATTTGAACTGCATGGCTTTGGGTTGACAGTGCAGCTCCTTAACCCTAAGCCACCAGTGCTCCCGCAGTAGCCAGTAACCCAACTTAATTCCCTTTAGAAAACATACATCATGCTCAGCCCTCAAAGGCAATGGTGTTAGAGAAGATGGATCCTAAAGTCAGCATCAGGAATCCATCTTCTTCAGTGGTGCAGAACACTTACATCCTTTTGCCTGTGAAAGCCTATCTGTCCCACATCCATGTCAGCTGTTTTCTTCAGGTTAGACCACGGTGTATATACCACATTAATGTTGTTCATCTTGCAGCCTGCCAAGAGAGACTGTCTTCAACACGCAGGCAGAGTGAGACTGAGCAATGCCTTCCCTTACCCACAACCTAACAAAGGAGCAGGTACAGCATGAACAAGCCACAAACTGTTTCAAAGCATAAAACAACTTTTAAAAATTCATCCACAAGGGCAAATGGTAAAACCTACATACTAAACAAAGTTCAAAAAAAAAAAGTACAGGCAATCCCCAGGGTTATGAATAATAAGCATACATAAAACCTGTAGGTATGAACCTAGCCCTATAAAGCCTGTTATATTACAAATTCAAGGCACATACAATGGTTCATAATAACAAATGAATGCTACTTAGCAACACTTATCTAAAATTACTGTTATTGCTGCATTATTATATTAAAGAAAGGGTATATATGAAATATTAAGGTAAATGTTATATTTGGCTGATGTTAGATATGAACTGTATCTAATTGCTCTGACTTATAGACACACTCAGAAACAGAACTTGTTCAAAAGCTGAGGTCTGTATTATGATAAAATGTAGGGGTCCTTGGATTTTCTATAAAAGGGACTTCTGAAAGATTTCTAAAATTGAATGTGTACATAGTTATTATAAGCATTTTTTAAAGGGAAAGATAATAGGTTTTCTCAGATTCTCAAAGGAGGCCTTGAGCCAATAAAGGTTTTCATTGTTAACAAGTCATTAGCTGACTTTGCAGCAGGTTTTTGGAGAGGTTGTGTATCGCAAGGGAGGAGCCATCAGAGAGGTGTAGTGTAGCCTTGCTTGGGGCTAGCGGTGGTGCAACTCTCTAAGGACAATGGCACCAGAGTCCCTGGTAAAGGTTAATAGGGTCAATAAAGATCAATAGAAAACAAAGAGCCAGGGGCTGGGATGCAGGCGGCCTAGACTCTATTACTGCCCTAGTACAAATCAGCTGTGTCACTCTGGAAAAGTCCCTGTGGTTTTGTCATCTAAAACATGACAAAACTGCCTAAATGGACAGGGGCTTTGTTTATTGCTTCTTTTACCAGTGGAACCATTCTACCCAAGAAAACACAGAAAAGTAACTTGAAAGTGAGATGCTCTGAATGAAAGGAGGTACAGGCATCCTCCTCACTTCTTCCTTTTCCTCATTATTACCACTCATTTCTACTCCTGGCAACTCGGGATCATGGTTTAGTCACTTGTCCAAAGCAATGTATCTGCCAAATTTAATGCTACTTAATCACTATATAAACTGGAAAAACTGCTTTATGTAGTTTTTTACTCTATTACTTTATGTAAGGGATTAAAGTCAGTATCACTAAGAGTGATTAAATGGTGCTAAATGGTATGTGTCTTTTGAGAGCAAACAGCAAACTTCACTTATGTAGTACTCCTGCCAAAAATCAGGGATTCTGAGAGCTCTGGTGGCCTAGTGGTAAGAAGCTGCACTGCAATCCCAAAGGCACATTGGTTCGAACCTCTGCTGCTCCATGGGAGAAGAATGGACAGTTTTCTCCCATGCAATTTGTTCCCTCTGAAAACTCATTTGAGAGTCATCAATGGGTAGGTTTCAACTCACAACAAATGACAAGAAGAAACGGACAAACCAAAACTGAGAAGCTTTCTACCACCATCTGTTCACTTTCGAAGTATTAAAGTCTTGAAAGACAAACTGAGCGTTATCCCGATTAAAGGAGACTAATGAGACACAGCAAATGAACAGAACACTTGGTCCTAGAATAATACTTCAAAAGGACAATACAGGGACCTTTGGCAAAGCATCAGTTTGGACTGTACATAAGAAACTTGTATTTTATCCATGTGTAATTGCAATGTGGCCATTTTAATGTAGTAGCTTAAGAAAATGTCTTTGTTCTCAGGAAATGAAGAGTCATAGTTTTCTTTCAAATGGTTTAGTTCAAAGTATGTCGGCTATATAGTTGTTAGGTGTTGTTGAGTCAAGTACAACTCATAGCAACACTATGAACAAAAGATCTGAACCCTGTTCTATATTGCACAATTCTCACACTTCTGGACACACAAAAGCCTACTGCAGCAGTCACCAAGTCCATCCACCTGATTGAGGGGATACAGAGAAAAACAAATACAGAAAAATTTAAAACTGATGAAACTAAGTGAAGGTATGTAGGAGTTCACGATATTTTTCTTGCAACTTTTCTGGTTTGAACATTCTTTGCAAAACAGAAAGTTAATAAAATCTCAATGTGCAAGGCTTGGTAGAAGACATAATTTGGGATAAGACAACTGACCCTGCCTTCCAAAACTTTTAAGAAGGTGAAATAAAATTTAAAAAATAACTTCAAATAGAACTGTTGCTATGCACCTGTCAAGTCAAAACCCATCCCTGACCCTCCAGCAGGTTTTCAGAATGCCCATACTGTTCCCTTGGAGCAGCTGGTGGATTCAAACTGTCTGCCTTCAGGATGGCAGCGCAACTCCTTACCTACCAAGTCACTAGAGCTCCCTTCAAGGAGAAACAGTCACATTATACTATAAAGCACAGACAGTAAAATAGTACAGAAAGGAAAGTCATTCAAAGACAAAGTAAAAAGCAGCCTTCATAAAGAGATTAGTAACAGAGTTTAGAAATTAAAACTAAACAGTATAGTGTCAGATTATCTGACACTAAATGCAGGCTCTACTGGATAGGTCAGAGTTATGAAATCTTGGGCAATTATTTCAATCTCTCTAATCCCACTTTCTTTATCTAGGAAAAGAAAATAGAGAATATAAAATAATGGTGATAAAGGAAGTCAGTAATAATAATAAAGTCAATATTACTCAATGTTAGTTATCACAACTATTATTGTAACTACTATGCTGAACCTTGAGCCTTAGCTTAGATCAGGTCATGCAGTGACCAAGGAGGAGGAAGATAAAGCTGAGAGCAGCAGGAACAACATAAGTAAAGGGACCAGGTACAAACCCAGCAAATGCTCACTTTAGCTAGACTGTAAAATAAGGGAAAAGGAGTCTGACATCTGCTAGTTTAAATGCTAGTTTAAGCTGGACTAAATTGTATAGGCAAAGGAGAGTTACTTAAATCTTACAAGTTTCATAAAATTTAATCAGGCAAGAGATTTTAGGATCAATACAGAACAAGCTAACCATAAACTATGTCAATAAAAAAGTCTGACTTGAATTTCCTCGGTAGCCAGAGGAGAGAAACTATACAGCAATGCAAATGGAATGCATCTTGCAAATCTCATAGTTCATTTTCTTCACTTTCTAACATTATCTTCTGCAAATAACTTCTTTCTCCTCCTGCAATTAACTCTTGGATTAGCCCCTCATTTTGCAGGGAAAGCATCAAGGCAGGTATCTATCACCAGTTGAAGAGGAGAGTAAACAAGTAGTTTGATGTTATGAGTCTTGCCTTCTTTACCACTACTGAGAAATTAAAAAAAAAAAAAAGGCCGATCCCCAAATCAAAAGAGCTCTTTTAACAAAGCTACAGCTGCTATTCAGGAGTATGGGAAGGTATCAAGGACGTGTGAGAAAAGCTACAGTAAAGAAGGAAACTGGACAAAAGCTGGTTTTAACTATAACTAAAGGTGTTAGGAATTTAATTATGTCTCCTCTAAAACATGTGCTGTAAATCCTAACTGCTCTGCCTGTAGCTGAAACTTCATTTGGGAATGAGTCCTCTTTGTTCTGTTTATGAGGCAGGATTAATTGAGGGGTGTATTTTGAGTATCTTGACTGAATCTCTTTTAAGATACAAAATAAACAAACAAGCCGAGAGGTGATGGGTAAGACAGCTTCTAAGATACATGGAGATGAACCAGGAAGCAGAAATGGAAAGTCGAGGGCCTTCCTTCAGAGCTGACAGCCTTCTCCAGGAGCCAGTATTCTGAATTCCTCCTAAACAGTGAGGACATAAATTTGTTTGTTAAAGCCGTCACTTAAGGCATTTGTTACAGCAGCACTTGATATTTAGATGGATGTTAGCTAGAAATAGGAGACAATTCTGTTCCAGTCATAAAAAACAGAATTTCTCTAGTCTCATTTATTGAGTCATGGAGTGACTCTACAAGATAAGACTTCTTTGGTCAGGTACCTCCTTTGTTATAACCAAACTCAAGTTAGAGTCAAGAAATGCAGTCTAAGTGATGGTGAAGGGAATACAGTATCCTACTCCTGCCCTGTAATCACCAACACCAGTACCTGTAACTGACTATGTGCCTGCCAGCCGCACCCACAACCCCCACCCACACCTTCTAACACTCTGCATTATCCCTCAATTTTAAGTCAAATCACACTTACCCCTACCCTATGTCCTAACAACTAAAATCTCATCTGTAAACTTAAATGTTCTCAGCGGAACATCACCAGTTCTCACTCCCATAATCCTCCTTTTCAACTTTTACTATCTTAGGTACCTCATGCTGCTAAAAGAGAGATAACATGTGGATGGCTTGAAAAAGCAAAACTGTACTCCTTCATAATTTAGGAGGCTAGAAGAGCAAATTCAGGGTGCCAGCGCCACGAGAAGGCTTTTTCTCAGTTCTGGAAGATAACTCCTTGCTTCCTTAAGCATTTACATGCTCATGTTCCTTGGAGATCTCCGTGTGTTTTGGCCTTTCATGGTGTTGGGAAGCTTCTTGACATAAGGAACTGGGCCAAAACTGATGCCTCCACTCCTGGTGCTTCTTCCTGGGTGGTACTTAGGTTCCCTTTTACATCCTTTGAGATGAAAGTGTTACAGGCTTGATGAGACAGAGTGCTGCAATCTACCCTAAATTCTCTTACGACTGCTTAATTTATCAGATTATGGGAGATCAGTACATTACTTCCACACTGTATCATCATATACATGCTCTATGGAAGGGGCACAGTCAATCCATGACACATTTAATTCATGACTGACAGATTAAATCTGGTACAGCAGGAAGAAACAAGCACTAAGCAGGTCCTACCTATAACCCTTAGGCCACTGCCTAGAATTCTCTCAACCCATCACAATCTCCCATAATTTTTTCGAAAATACTGGAAACTCAGAGATTGAATTAGATGAATAAAAAAAAAAATCAAGTGAGAAGGGAGAGAAAGCCACTGAGTTTTTAAAAAACAATTTCAGAAATGAGAACTGAGGCACAGAGACTTGTACACCAATGTTCACAGCAGCATTATTCACCATCCCAAGAACATGGAAACAGCCCACAGTCCAACCACAATCGAATGGATTGAGAAGTTGTGGTACATTCATATAATAGAATACTACATAGCACGCAAAAGCAATGATTTTGTAGATTATTACCTAACTTGGGAGGGACTGGAGAGCAGTAAGCTGAGCGAACTAACTCAGTCCCATAAGGACAAATACTGTGTAAAATCATTATTATAGAATGAGTATGAGGATACAAGGAGGGGAGTGAAAGCGGATGGATGGGGGGGAATTAATCATGGAGTTGTATAATTTAATAGTGGGGGGTGAGGGAAACTGAAAGAATCTGGTCTGAAAAACTATGTATTCAAATTTTGTACATAAACTACTATTTAAAAAAAAATCTCAGCTGAAAGATCTGCCTGTCTGGAATGGGCTCAACAACTCAACTCACTGGTGTCAAGACAGAACCAACCCATTGCTGACACTCCAGCTGGTTTTCAGAACACTGTAAATTACATGGGATGAGACTGCCCATCTTTTTCCCACAGAGCAGCTGGGGCATTTGAACTACATGTCCTTGGGATAACAGCATTCCTTACCCACAAAGCCACCAGAGATCTGTAAGAACAGATCAGAAATGTGAAAACAATTGTAATCCACTGACCATCTTAAGTTAGTAATGACCACTTGTTTTATACCAAAACTGTCATCTTAAAGG